GTGTAGGTGTTTATAAACTAAACGTTCACCAAAAAACTTTAGTAAGAAAAATCGAAAAAACGAACTACAAACATATTAACGCCAAACATTCGGTAGAATTTATAGAATATTGTAAATATTGTGGTCTATTACCAACATATATACATATATATATATACATACATATATATATATATATATATATATATATATATATATATATATACACAGACGTACTTAAATACGTTTTTGTGTGTAAGTGTGTTATATGTGTGTGTGTTTGTTTGTGTGTGTATTTGTGTTTTTGTGTGTGTGTGTGTGCAGCCAGCGAAAATGACAAATGTTCAAATTTCAAGGGTTTCCCCGTCTGAAAGATTAGCCCTTTATCTCATTTCTACCATTTCTTTTTCCTTCTTTTCATCATGCTTGCATGCGTGCACACGTCTGAATGTCTGTGTATCTGTCTGTTTGTCTGTCTTTTTCTGTCTGTCTGTTTGTCTTTGTCTGTCTTTCATCAGTTTTATAATAAAATCCTTGGCATACAAATACTATCATAATGTAACTAACACATACACTTACAAACAAACATACAGACATACTAACAAACAAACAAACAAACAAACAAACAAGTATACAAAGAAACATACAAACAAACACACGAACGGACACACAGCGTCACGTGATTTTAGAAGACGGAAGTGCGAAAAGTTAATTCAACTCACACGCTTCATAAACGCGTGCACGGAAAGGATAATAATGAATGATTTGATTCCATGGTTCCGCCGCTCATAAAATTGAGAGAGAGAGAGAGAGAGAGAGAGAGGGATAAAGGTGGAGAAAGAAAAAAAGAGAAAGAAATATATATATACATAGAGAGAGAGAGAGAGAGAGAGAGAGAGAGAGAGAAAGAGAGGGATAAAAATGGAGAGAGAAAGAAAGAGAGAGAAATATATATATATATATATACATAGAGAGAGAGAGAGTTAGTGAAACATTTATTATGCATTAAAAAAATTAATAAATAAATTTAAAAAAATCACAATCATAGCAATAAAATAAAGATGATCTTAGGCGGTGATGATGACTGTTACAATGTTGGCAATGATATTCTTAATTAGTGATGACGACGATGACGATGATGATGAAGAGAAGAAGAAGAAGAAAATGATGATGATGAAAAGAAGATGATGATGACGATGGTGATGATAGTGTAGAACTATAAGATGAAAGAATTAATGTAAATTATTATAAATATATGAAGACCTTTTACAATTCATTTCTACCTTTTAAAAGCACAAAGACATTTAGATGATGCTAAAACACGGTATGTAAACAATCATATACAACACACACACAAACACACAAATTCTTCGCACATACATGTACACATACATGTACACATACATGTACACATACATACATACATACATACATACATACATACATACATACATACATACATACATACATACATACATACATACATACATACATACATACATACATACATACATACATACACACACACACACCAACATACGCACTCTGGCGGATTGTTGATGCAGCTTTCTGGGGATTATCTTTCCATTTAACGACCACTCATTGACGTACATCGTACGTACATACAAAATATACATACAAAACATACATACAAAACATACATACAAAACACACAAACATACAAACAAAACATTCACACATACATACAAACACTTTCAATCTAACACACTTGCATACAAACACATACTACAAGCGTAGAAAGTTATTATTTTTTGTAGGGTTCTTTGTTATTTGAAATTTTGGTTTCTTTTAGAATTCTTTTTCATGTGTTTTCATGAAATAAACTTTTTTAAAAAAGAACATAAAAAACATCAGAAAAATACACTCTTAATTTGCACACATGTGTACAGACATACATAAACACAAGCAGACTTATGAACATGCATATACAGAAATACAAATGATAATGTAAGTTTGTATGTATGTAGTACACACACACATACACCACACACACACACGCACATATATATGTGTGTGTGTGCATCGCAAACAATCTTCCCACCGCTAAACTGAAGACATATAAGAGCGTTGGGCAATCAACAACACACACACACATCTGTGTACGTGTGTATGTATGCATGTATGTATGTGTGTTTTTATGTAGGTATACATGTATGTTGGTATGCATGTGTATATGTATGTTCTTTGTATGTCTGAATATGCATGTATGCATGCATGTTGGTATTTTTTTTTCTTCCAAAATTTTATTGACATCAAAGGCAATCAAGAAGTTATAATGAAAACTTGTGCTGGTATGCATGTATATATGTATGTTTGTTTGTATGTTTGAATATGTGTGTGTCTGTACACACAAACATACAGGCGTACACACATACAGGCGTACACACATCACTATTAGTCCATGCATCGCTTATGTTTGCGTTTCTATCTCGTATTCCATATAAACAGGTGTCTACGTTCACAGCCTCATCAACTTCAGCATCCTCATCTTCATCTTCTTCCTCTTCTTCTTCTTCTTCTTCTTCCTCTTCTTCTTACTCTTCTTCTTCATCATCACCACCGATGACGTCATCATCTTCGTCATCATCGACCGCCTAGTGACTGACCGCTAATTAGAATAATCCTTTTTTGGCGTTTTCTCAAAAACTATTACCGGTATCAACACACACACACACACACACATACACAAACAAACACACACACATACACAAACAAACACATCACACACAAACATACACACATATATATATACGTACACATAAATATATGTATATATACGCATATGTATATGCATGCACAGGTGTTTGTCGCCTGCTCAAACGCTGATAAGAAGATTATAGAAGATGGATGTGTGTGTGTTTGTGCGTGTGTGCGTGCGTGCGTGTGTGTGTATGTATGTGCGTGTGTGTTTGTTTATTGATGTGAATGTATGTATGTTGTATGTATGTATGTATGTATGTATGTATGTATGTATGTATGTATGTATGTATGTATGTATGTATGTATGTATGTATGTATGTATGTATGTATGTATGTATGTATGTATGTATGTATGTATGTATGTATGTATGTGTGTGTGTACGCGTGTAAGAGTGTAATGTATGTGTGTGAGGTTTTTCTTTTGTTTATGTAAATTGATGGAAGGCAATTCGCGATAAGTCAAATTTTTGGCAAATATAAATGGAA